TTCCGGATTGAAAAAATAAAGGAATCCTATACCTGGAAAACATATATGAAGGATTGGACTTCATCCCATTTAATCGAATAGTCTCCCAATTTGGAATGGATAAGAATAGCTTTTTAGAAAATCACCAAATTAAATCTGTAGTCAAACAAAAATTTAGGCTCAATAAAATAGAATTACAAACAGCACCAAGGGTATTTGACTTCTATAATCTCAACCCCCCAAACTACTGTCTAAAGTATATAAGACACTGTCCAAAATAGACAATAAAATTGCAATCCCAATTGAAAAATGGGAGGTGGATCTTCAGTTAGCTTTGACCAGAACTTCTGGTCCCAAACTTGTTTAAAAACTTTTAAAATGATCAGACACCCCAATTTACAATTAATTCAGTACAAAATTCTGCACAGAGTACACTATACAGGTCATCGGATGTTCAAGATGGGGTTTGTGTCATCTGACTAATGTACACACTGCACAAACATCATTCCTGACAGTTACATTCACGCACTGTGGTCCTGTCCAGGAATTTTGGGGTAGAGTATGTGAGGATCTGTCAAAATGTCTGAAATGTCATATCCCAACTTCCCCCTCTCTTTGTTTACTGGGAGACCTGGACGATGTCCCGATTGAAACATCTTTGGTTTACGTGGTTCTGACTGCCATATGCATCGCTAAGAAAACTATCCTCTTGAATTGGAAAAATAGAGAAACTCTCTGCATTAACCAGTATAGAAATCTTTTGTTAGATCATATTACACTTGATTTAGCCTCTGCTTCCACTTCAAATCAATCTCTCTGGGCTCCTTTGATCGGTTCCATCACATAGCGATGATGGGGGACCATTGATGTTGTCCTGCGGGATGATGTGGGTGGGGGGGGGTGGAGGGTCTGAGTTTGGAGTATCCGGATGTTCCCTGGAGGTGGGTTCACTGGGGGTGTCTGGGACTGGGGGGCCGTTGCCCCCCTCTGGAGGTGCTTGGGTTGCCTCGGGGGTGGACTACTGGCAGTTGTGAGTGGGGCCCCTTGGAGGTCTTGGCGGCGGCCATGGGTCACTGCCTGGCAGCTGCATTGCCCCTGGGCGGGTCTGGGTGGGGGCCTGGGGGCTTGGGGTGTGGGGGTGGCCGGCCCCGTGTGGGGATCTGGGCGGGGCCTTGGGGGTCGGGTCCTGAAATGTATGCTGCCGGGAAGAAGGCAGGAACATGCAGAAGTGCCTGGCCCGGTTTCAGGGGCCTCGGGTAGACCTTGGCTCCTCTGCTGTCCCATCAAAGGGGAGGGGGAGGTCCAGGAGGGGGAGGACCCAACCTTACCTGGATGTCCTATGTCTTATATATTCTGGAAGTTGTGCAAATGCAGGGATGGGCATAGATATTCTGCTGGGGTGGGGCTGGGTTGGTGCCCTCAGACTCCGTGAGGCTCTGTAATGCTGCTGCTTTGGGCCCTGGCAGGATGGGCTGGGGTTTCCATGCCCTGGGTGGCAATTTGACAACAGAGGTGCCTATTGGGGCCAGTGGGGGAGCTGGCTCCCTGGAGGGCTAAGCCCAACCAGCCATTCCTCCCCATCCCCTCATATTTCTCTCCGCCTCCTCCCTCACATCATCACACAAACATGCACATAGGACCTTGGGGGGTGGACAAGTCAGGGAGTGTGGGTATAGACCCCATTTCCGCATTCCTGTGGCAACCTGCCCACCAATTTTATTTGCACCTTATACACTTCCACCAACGACATTCCACGCAAACACACACTTAGGGACTTGGGAGTGAGCACATTCAACGGCACTTGGCAGGGGGATTTCTCAGCCTCCTCCCGAATGCCGGTGCCCACTTCCAATTTTAAACTGCACTTAGACACCGAGGGCTGTGTGTGCAAGCGGAATGGTGCGGTGGCATCAGCTGGCATTGGCCAGACAATGCCCGCACTGGCCGCTCACCACATTCCATGGAATACACCTGATCAACACACAACACTATATTGGAGCAGGCAGAGGGACATTAGGGGTCTTAGCTCACCTCTGTTGTTGCTTGGCTTCCTGGGGCTTGAGGCTAGGAGGGAGATCTGGCCGTCTGGTTGGGGTCTGGGGTGGTGGGTTGCTGTGCTCAGCGTTGAGTGGGGGAGCCTGCTCATCAGCACCCCAGCAGAAAGGGTCAAACTCTGGTAACCGGTGATGGTTGTACCCAATGTGCAGCAGTACCGGGACCAGAGTGAATAGGGTGTGTATGGGGAGCATGAGTGGGTGTCCGGTGAGCATTTTTGTAAGTCTTTGGTCGTATGTGCATGTCTGAGCATGAGCGAGGGAGTGTGTGACTGTGTTTGTGTATGACTGTATATGTTAGGTGGGGCCTTTGACTCCTCCCCTCTCCTGGGACTTCTTTTGATGATATAGATCTTCATCTCCCCTCCCCCTGCCACACCTGGTGTGGTGCCTTGGTCTGCCTGAGTGTTCGTGGCTCCTGGGTCAGGGGGTTTAAGATTTTTGGCGTCTGCCTGATCAATCCCGGTGGTTGCCTGGTGGGGTCTGCTGGGTCCCCGGCGGGGGTGGTCGCCCCTGGGTCCCGGGTTGCTGGGTCCCGGGCTCGGCCGGCTGGGGGTGGGAGGCTGCGGGCGGGCCTGTGGGCTTGCCGCTGATATCTCCCGGGACTCTGCCGCTGCTGGTTGTGGCCCCCTGGGGCGATCCTCTGTGCCTCTCGAGGGGGCTGGGGGCCTTTCTGGTTGCAGTCTCCTTGGGGTTCCTGTGTTCTGGGGCAGTGCCTGGATCTCTGGGACTTGGAGCTCCCCCGTCTCCTACACATCTTTGGGGGGTAGATCTGTGGTCCCTCACACTCTCTATTGGATGCTCCTATAGAGAAACCTTACATAAACAAGCGCGTGTACACACACAGGTGCTCACATGGTGCTCTCAAAAGTATCGGCTTGGGCACATTCAACACATGTCTTAAGGCTGTGGTTGCCACTAAATGCACTGTGATTTATGATCGTGTGATTGTTCAGTTAAACAATGTTGATTATATATCTCTTCATCAAGCTGACGCAGTGATAGCTTGATCTTGTTGTATTGTTGTTGTGTCCCCTATTTTATTTATTTATTTATTTATGTTTGCTTTTTTTCTTGTCTCTTTCTGCAGGTCTAGAAGCAAAATTGTTTATTTTTGTGGAATCCCCCACCCCCACCCCCTTCCCCCCTCTCTCCCCACCTTTTGTCTTTTCCTTTCTCTTTCACCTCTGACTCAGTGTCTGGTCGGTATTACAAAGCATTCAAAAACAATAACAATAAAGTTTTAAGTATCAGGCGTGACATTAAAAGCAGACGCTTTGATGCTCCACCTGAGAGTAAATCTGTAAGGCTTGTTACCAGCATTCAGACATCAATTCTGTTTGCTTCACTGCCAGACAGGATACGGTTAAAAAAAAACACAATAACAACCACCAAAGCAGATTCATGGTAGCATGAGTCTCACTCACGTACTTGACAATAAAGCTGGGTCTGAAATATCTTCAGACATTCTTGTCAGTGTAATAAAAGAAAGCATTTTCTTTTATTCAAATTAGTGTAGATTTGTTCATTACAGAGATCCGTCCTCAACGGCATAGACATAGAAGAGTAGACACCACGCCGATCGCGACTGTGTATGATAGTCGCGTTTTTGTGGTCTACTTTTTATAAACTGTATGGTTAACAGGATGTTTAGCTAAGGCTTTAGCTCCGTGGAATCTGGAGCTCTCGAACTATGGTAGAGTGCTGTTCATGAACCCGTTTACACACCAGAATGAGAGCTCACCTTATTATTCATCAGACAAAATATGTACGAGTTTGGTTTACGTTCACAAAAAAAAAATATATATATATATATATATATATATATATATATATATATATATATATATATATATATATATATATATAAACAACAAGTTCACGAATGATCGTTAAATGAACTTTTTGAGTACAACACCACCATGTTGTACTTATAGACTTTTCCCTTCTCAGACGTACCTTGGTTTGGTGCAGGTTGTGTTTTTGTTTCTTCTTGTTTTTCTGTTCGGTTAAAGGTTTAAAATAGGTCTGCAGCTATTGGATATTTTTGTATGTGAATATTCTATTGAATCTTCTGATTAATCGAATGTTCCATTTGACAATGTTTCAAGTGAAACGAGACCATGGTCTGCTGCTAAAAACATGAAATAAACTACAAAATTATGAGGCTAAAAGGTCAGACTCTTGTTATAAAAGGCTCCATAGGAAACCTAAGTCCCCTCCCTTTCCAGTCGGCTCATGGGTCCCTGGAAGAGCGAAAAAATTAAAGCAAGTCAACGGGGCTAAATGAGCTATATTCTAACCCGTTTTGCCTCATGCCCTGGATCACACAAATGTTGTACTGCTATTTAAATGAAAACCAATTATGTGTGTTTTGACCATGCCAGTGACGTACTTTGAAATTTATTAGATTGTAAATGTTTGCTGTTGGCATGACTACACACCAGACATCGGCACGTCGCATATGTGACGTCACCACATAATCTCCTCCCCACTAGCTTGGCCACTACTTACCACATGACCAGATTTATGGTGTTTCTTTCCTCCTGAAGGAAGGATTTGAAGTTTGCTGAACTTGCAGCCATTTTCTCTTTGTTTTTCTCCGTGTCTGGTTCAATGACGTTGTAGTCCTGGACTTATTTTCACACAAAACCTAAAAGAGCGTTTTTAGCCCCATTGACTTGTATTTATTATATATATATATATATATATATATATATATATATATATATATATATATATATGATGCATAATTTTTTTACAGTGCTTCATTTATACAGTTGGATGGTAATGAAATGGATTTGCTGTACATCTCTCCTCCACCCCGGCCCTCTCTCCATGTGTCATAGCATGGTCCACAGCTAAGGACAAAAGAAAAAAGCTTCACATAAACAACAAATGCTTATCTTAATGTGACCATTTAAGGTCAATTTATCAAAATAAATTTGTTTTTGTGTTTCTTCTCAGGTCTGGCAATAGTGCAGGGTCAGAGAAAAACTATCAACGATTCATTCCTTGATGCTTCCAACCTTCTGGCCAGTGTGCCTGGACCACGGAGAGCTGACCTGGACGTGGTTTTTGAGATCAAGCATTTCCCCGATCACGGCCGGATCATTCTGAATGGAGAGGACCTGCCTCGCAGTGCCCCATATTTCACACAGCAAGATGTTACTCAAGGAAAGTTGGATTATCTCCATGATGACTCTGGAGCTGCCTTGGACAGCTTTCCTTTCAGGGCTTTTCTAAAGTCAGACAGTGGAGGTGTTGCCTCACCGGCTGATGCTGTTATACTGGAGGAGGTCTTCCATATTTCAGTCAAACGAAGAGGTTCTGATCTCCCAGAACTTGTCACCACAGATATGCTCCTGGAGGTTCTCCAAGGCTCTGTTATTTCCCTAACCCAGAACCATCTAAACACTCACGATGAAGACAGCCCTCCGGAGGAGGTGCTCTTCAGAGTGACTAAAGGACCTAGCAACGGTAAGCTGGTTAACCTCATCACTATGGAGTCTATTTTTGAATTCACACAAGAAATGATCAATCGTGGAGAGGTGGGCTTCAGCAGCGATGGCAGCCTTGCAAATGACTATGTGGAGTTCATTGTGTCAGATGGAGAACATCAGACAGAACCGTTTACACTGCACATTGGTGTTCTGGCTCGGACCCTGCATCTCGACAGGCTCTCTGAGATCAGGGTTAAACAAGGGGATGATGAGACTCTGGTGACTGAACAGATGTTGAGGGCCACCACAGGAGGTGCTGCTGAGGAGGACATCCTTTACAAAATCACCAGTGTACCAAAGTATGCAGCTGTCATGGTGGACCGGCAGCCCACATCTGCTTTCACCCAGAAACAGATTAAAGAGGGCCGAGTCAGTGTCCGCTTCGTCAAGTCCAATTCACCCCAAGACAGTGTTTCATTTACGGCCCGTAGCCGCGCCGCTAACGTCTCCTCTGTCCTAAACATCACCGTCCAGCCTCTAGCCAACATTGCTCAGGATCCTCTGTTACCTCAGGGAGCTCTTGTTCTCCTGGACAGGAAGCTTCTGGATGCATCTCCACTGGCCAATAAGACCAGAGTATCCCCCACGTTCACAGTCCTTCAGCAACCTAAGGGGGCTCGTTTTGTGACATCTAGAGGTCCAGGTGCAGGACAGCGTGTGGACTCATTCAGCCAGAAGGACCTGGATGAAGGCCGAGTAGTGATGGAGATAGACCATGCTTCTGGTTCACAAAGTGGTCGTAAAAAGGATGAAGCTCGCTTCCTGCTAAAGGCTCATGGAGTCCCGCCTGCTGAATGTGTACTGTCATTCTATACCAGCCCTTATACTGCATCAGAAGTTTATCCAGCCACCCTGCTGAGGACTCCCTCTGAGGTCACTGATGGACCTGTCCTCACCACATCATCTCCAGGCTCCAGCTCCTACGGAAAAGCACATGTTTCCCGCCGTGGCAGTTTCTGGTCTATCTTCATCCCAATCATGGTGGTCCTCCTCCTCCTGCTCCTGGCAGCTATCTTGGCCTACTATCTGATCCGTAAGAGCAAGACAGGCAAACACAATGTCCAGACGGCAGCATCAAAGCCCAAAAATGGCGATGTAGCCTCTACAGAGACCTTTCGTAAAACCGACCCAGTCAACAACATCGCCATGTCCAACATGGACTCCAAAGACACGGACCCAGAGTTGTTGCAGCACTGTCGGACAACAAACCCGACTCCAAAAAAGAACCAGTACTGGGTTTGAAACTCTCTCGCAGAAACGATGAAGGTGGATCCTCTAATGATTCCTCTCAGTATTAAAGACCTCCTGCCGCAGAAGTCAAAAGGAAACCGATCACTGATGCCTTCTTTTACTGACTGATCTCAGAACTGTGGACAAATTCCCAGGCTGGAAACACGGTACACCCACCAGCAAAGACAGAAGCAGTGCATTCTGTTCGGAAGCTGATGCCGTGTCTATTTATTTCAGTTTTAGTTTTCCCTCTTCAAAGGGCACAGATGAAGACATGAACATGCTGTGTTTGCAAAAGATAGATTTTTTTGGTGCTCTGTTTTTGTGTTTACTATGATAACACAGACAAACCTTAATCATAAAGTTTATTTAGTATATTTGTATTCCATTTCTGTTTTAGGCCCCTTGGTAATGCCATGCATAGAGTGATGAAGTGAATGTTTGTAATACAAAAATAGATTTTTTTTCAAGGTTAAGGGCCGTTTACATCTGCCACTCTTGTCCAAATCTGTGCATTTACCTGGCCTGTCCAGCAAAAGTTTTCTAGACACGCCACTGTGTTACAGGTCTCGGGTGTTCAGGTTGAAAATGCAAAACTGACTGAGATGGAAACCACTTTATGTTCATCTTACTATAGATGTAATCACATGCTGTTTCCTTCTTGTGTTAAATACTTTTCACTTCAGCAGAGGTGTCCAAACTTCTCAGGACAAGGATAAAATTGTCAAGTTTTGCAGGGAAAAAAATGTTTTTAAAATATGCTGAATTATGTTATGTTTTATTTGTACTCCTTAAAATAAGTCCCAAATAGCAATATTAGTAAAATTGTGAATATCGATCGACATTAGCAGTCTACTGGAGAGACAATACTAATCATTTCAGAAAGGCCAGTGGGGACCACACCAAATTAATCCAAAGGCCACAAAGGGCCCCTCAGCTGCACTTTGGACATGCCGGCTTTACATCATATTCAGAGCCCAGCCCAGAAGGATGTATAAAATGTTGATTGAAAAGATTTATCGTTTTATTATGAGTATCCCAAATGTCAGCTATCAGTTTTTCTCTAGTGTTTTTTATTTTTATTTTTTTGCTGTATATATTTCTCACATATTGTATATCAGTGTTTACCTTATTGTCACTTATCAGATACTGAAGCTGTAGTGTTTCTGACTGTCTTCCTCCCATATGCTTTTATCTATTTATAGCAGCAAACAGAGATACAAATTAACAAAAAGTGTTAAAATATCCTGTTTTATTGGGAGAGTTTTGTATTTTAGTGATGCCCTAAATAATTCAAATGAAACATAGCTTCCTCCATCATAACACCACCTTCACTTCCTGTGTCCTGTGTGGACATCAGGCTCTGCCTCCTTTAGGTACTCGGTAATGAAGACTTGTGTGTTTGTGTGTGTGTGTGCATGCATGGCTCTGTGTGTGTGTGTGTGTGTGTGTGTGTGTGTGTGTGTGTGTGTGTGTGTGCGCGCGCACGCATGGCTGTGTGTGTGTGTGTGTGTGTGTGTGTGCATGAATGTATGTGCCACGCTCGGGAACCATTTGGTGGTTTAACCCCCCAATCCAACCCCGGTATGCTGAGTGTCAAGCAGGGAGGTATTGGGTCCCATTTTTTTCTAAGTCTTTGGTCTGACCTGACCAGGAATCGAACTCTGATCTCTCAGTCTCAGGGCGGACACTCAACCACTAAGCCACTGAGCTGGTATTATTACACATGCGTGCATGCATGACTGTATGTGTGTGTGTGTTTGTGGATGTGTGTGTGTGCGCATGTGTGTGCATGCATGACTGTGTGTGTGTGTGTGTGTGTGTGTGTGTGTGTGTGAGTGCATGCATGACTGTGTGTGTGTGTGTGTGTGTGAGTGCATGCATGACTGTGTGTGTGCGTGCGTGTACATGCATGATTTTGTGTGTGTGTGTTTGTATGTGTGTGTGTGTGTGTGAGTGCATGACTGTGTGTGTGCGTGCGTGTACATGCATGATTTTGTGTGTGTGTGTTTGTATGTGTGTGTGTGTGTGTGTGTGTGAGTGCATGCATGACTGTGTGTGTGTGTGTGTGTGTGCGTGCTTTTACATGCATGATTTTGTGTGTGTGTGTTTGTATGTGTGTGTGTGTGTGAGTGCGTGCATGACTGTGTGTGTGTGTGTGTGTGTGTGCGTGCATGACTGTGTGTGTGTGTGTGTGTGCGTGCGTGCGTGCGTGCGTGTGTGTGTGTGTGTGTGTGTGTGTGTGTGTGTGTGTGTGGATGTGCACATTAAAGCTGTGGGTCACGGGATTCAAGTGAAATGGGCGTCACGTTATTTCTGATCACGTTACTGGGACAAAATAGGAAATAAAGTCAACAAGAGTGGGAATAAAAACACGTTTAGATTTCTGTTCAATAAGACACTCTTGTCTTTTAAATGAATGTGCCGTTTTATCTAACATTTAGTTCTGTCTGGCCTTGACTACAGTGATTGTGTAAACATGTCAGACAGTCGAATGTCGTCAAATCATCGGACATGACCTCTTCTCTAAACTTGCCAAAGGAAAATAAATCTTCTGAAAACTTACAGACTGTTTAGTTGATTATCGATAATCCATCAAAGATTGTCTCTGGTCTCTGCAGCAGCTGCCTGCAGGAGCATTTCTTCCGAGCCATTTAAATGATCTGTGCACCGGAAGCTTTAAGCAGCTGTTTTACAAATGCGAGGTCATTTCTTATTATTGGGATATTACATTATAACAGCGGGTTATTAGAGTAGCTTAACAAAAAGCTCTTCAACTTTCATCTTAAAGGACCAGTAACATTAGGTTACAACCATCACCACGCACAACCCTTTATGAAGAATTACAGCATTTAGAGATACTTTCATATGTATTCTGATGTTTCTGCTGTTTCATAATTTGCCTAATAAAATCTCAATTTTCTGATAAATCCCGTTTGTTTATTTTCTAAGCTGATGGACTGTCTAATCCTCATTTTCTGAATTTTGCAGAAAATCATTGATGGTTCTTTTTTTTCTTTCTTTTTTTTTACTATTTCAACAGATTATTGTTGCAATAAAAGTGCACACAGTGCAGGCCAAACGTTCGGACACACCTTCTCATTCAATGTGTTGTCTTTATTTCCAAGACCATTTACATTGGTAGATTCTCACTGAAGGCATCAGACCTATGAATGAACATATGTGGAGTCATGCACTTAACCAAAAATGGTGAAATAACTGAAAACATGTTTTATATTCTATTTTCTTCCAAAAAAAAAGCCTCCCTTTGCTCTGATTACTACTTTGCACACTCTAGGCATTCTGTCCATGAGCTTCAAGAGGAAGTCACCTGATATGGTTTTCCAACAGTCTTGAAAGACTACCTCTCATCAAGAACTTGCCATGAGTGTGCAAAGCATCAGTCAGGAGGAGACACGAGAAGGCTGTGAACAGGAGGATTTGAGAGTGATGATCTGAGTGCGGCCTGATAGGTAAGAGTGAAAAGATTGAAGAGGGGTGTTAACCATGCAGATGGAGGATAACCTATGGAGGAGAATGAAATGAGGTATTGTATCAAAGGACCAGAATGGATAGTAGACCGTCAGCAGCAATAAGATCATTTGTGGGGTGGTGCAGCTCCTCTGGAGCCCAAATGATGTACACAGCTGCTGGACCAAGGCACTCTCAGTTTAGTTCATAAAAATGAATTTATTTCTGTTTTCCTAAACTAATGATTATACAAGACAAGGTATGGATGAAATGCTGGAATGGAGCTAGATGTTTTAGCAAAACCTTTCTTGAGTGTCTGAGAGAGATTGTGGCGTCTAGGTTGTGAAATCTATTTGGCTGTTTGTTTTGTAAACTAGAGATTTGTTTATAAAACCATCCGACGCAATCTGTGTCGAGTCTACGCACCCTTGTGTGGAGATCCCCGTGCAGATCCAGGGGGTCAGGAGGTCGAGCCAGACACTGCCAATGGCATAGACCTCTTTTACCAGAACCCATAGATTCGCTCCGATACGACCCGTCTAGTCATGAGATATCTCCATGTGACAACAGGAAGCTGGAGTGCTTGTTTTGCATCTAAGGCTGTTTGGTGGCTCTTAAAAGAGACGTTGTGTCTGTAATCACTCGCAGCGTTACGAAGAGGCTTTGACCTGAGGTCAAAAGAAGGATGGTTTAAAAATGCTTGTTCAGCGATTTGGCCAGATCGGGAGTCAGTTAGAAACTGACTATATGAGGAAGTAATTCCTGTTTTATCAACTTCTGCTTCGAAATTTCACAAATGAGAATTTGACACATTTGAGGGCATTACCAAATATTTCTCAGACTGTCACACCTTCCCTCAGACACTAAGTGGTTCAGTCTCAGTGCGGCCAGCATACCTGGCTCTGACTGCAGTGGACTGACGTTCTGCTTGTATTTTAACAGTCTATATTTTAGCTCCACAGGTGACTACAGCATGACTACAGCCTCATATAGAAGCCAAGCAGCCATGCAGGTGGGAAACCCCGGAGCCCCTACTTAGCTTCTTGCGTTAGCTAGTGAACATTGATTCATTTGTTCTTACCAAAACAGCCCCACGTCTTTTCCCATTTTGTCTGAGCGTGATGTGTGACACTGCCAAAATGGCAGTGGTGGGACCCTCCCATTTTCTCTAAAAAACTTATAACTCCACATAGACATTGGTTGTCCAGTATATATGTCGATGACACACACAAACTGACAAAATTAATTTACCTCTGCATTTCTGTTTGTAAAGTTGTCCTTGGGGTATGGGGAGCTACAGATTCTCCAAGCCAACAGTGACAACCAGAAGGCAAAACACGTGTTGACAAGCTTTACAATCAGTGCATCGCTGGTTCTACTTTCAATAAAACAAAATAGAAGTGATTTTTTTAATTTTGATTTTAAAAAACTAAAAAGCTGTAATTGCTCTGTATTTTAAACTTTTGTCCCTCATCAAAGATAAGAAAAACGGCGGTGGGACCGAATTTGATGTAAACGAACAAAGACATGTTGAAAACATATTGGGCGTGATGTTTAACCAGAGTTGTTTACCCGGAGTTTCAGTGGACATGATGGCTATACCACGTAACAACTAATCACACGTATTTTTCTATTGTCACCATAAACTGAACGATAAAATAACGACACTTGACTTTTACTTTCCCCAATTAATTTTAAAAAGTACGTCTGGTTAGCTGGCACAAGAAGGACCGCATCCATGCTGCCTGCTGCGCGCCAGAACATTTCAAAGTTTTACCGATTTACCAGAAATGTATTTAACATTAATGCCTTTAACCTATGAGGAACATTACGACATATAATAGATTTAATTGACAATAATAATACTTTGTAGACGATGAGATGGTTAAATGTAAAAATTCCAGCTGTTCCTGCTGCTAGTTAGTTAGGCCATTGATCCCTATTTTTTTAAATGAAATTATAACGTTTTAAACAGACTGGTGAAACATGTCCTAATCCACTTTTATACACAATGACTTTAGTTAATAATAAATAACACACTCTGGTAGCTACAGGACTTTCAGAAAATCGTTCGTGAATAGTAACCCATGATAATTACATACAAACATTGAATTTTACACTCTCCCTTCAAGTTAAAATGTTCAAACTAATGCTAACTGTTAATTACAACATCAACTGGCGTACAACAGTGCTATTTGTTAAAGTACTCACCTGTGACTTTTCTGCCATTTTGCTCTGGAAATACTGATGGAAAACCGCCGGAGGATCCGCGCGCAGAAATGCTTACACTCAAGTGTGTGAATGCGTGCAAACCAAGCCCCCACAATGCGGCTCAAAAATTGAGGCCAACCCGGAAATACCAAAAATTGCAGTTCCACCCTCATCTGCTGGGGGCTGGTGTTAGAAGCGAGCAAATCCTCATTGACTCCCATGTTAAAAATACCAATTTCACAGCAGAAATAAACATGTTTACAGCCTGGTACCAGAAAATGCTTTTTGTTTAAATTATCTAGTTTACACTCATGACAACTCGCGGTGGGGGGGGGGGTTGTGAATTTGACTCAGAAGCTCTGGTGTTGTGCAGTTAACTCCGGTTGTAGCTAGGTTGCTACCTCCGTTAGCTTAGCTCCCACCTCCGCATTAGCTTTGGTTTAGCTTGTTTAGCTGGTAGCTAGTTCGACCGGGTGTCGTCAGTTGATCCCAGCCTTACAGCCCCACCCTCAGCTCCACCTCTCTTCCCTTTTGTGGAATTGTCTTGGCTTGACGGAACCTGTGACACGGTCAAAATGGCGGTGGTGGCCACCTCCCATTTGGCCTCAAAAACGTGTTATTGGAGCAACTGAGCAGTGCGCTACCAACACTATCTATAGTGGGGACGGTGTGCTGCTGACCTCTACTCAGGACGTTGTGGATCGGTGGGCAGAATACTTCGAAGACCTCCTCAATCCCACCGACATGTCGTCCAGTGAGGAAGCAGAGTCTGGGGACTTTGGGTTGGCCTCTCAAATCTGGTGCTGAGGTCACTGAGGTGGTTAAAAAGCTCCTCTGTGGCAAGGCTCCAGGGGTGGAGATATATCGCGTCATACCCGTGTCAAAACCCGTGCACGCGCATTGGGTCCACAGCGCGCGTGTGAACGGGACTCGCGAGCGAAAATATACATGGCAGCGCGCGTGTGAACGGGACTCGCGAGCGGAAATATACATGGCGAGAGGTCATTTGTGCACTGAGAGGGAGCAAACTGTGTCTGTGAGCGCACAAGGATGTGCACAAGTGACAAACCTGCGTGCGCGCGTTGTCAACGAGCACACGGCAGAGGAAAACGTGCGCGCGCGGCAGCCTCTGTGCGCGCTCGGCAGCCTCTCTGCGCGCTCGGTTTCTGACTCCTGCTCGCTCGGCTGTAAGGGTTTTGGCACTCTGGAGGCGTGGCCTGTGGCAGATCTTCTCTGTCCTCTGATTGGTTAGTGTACCCCGCACTTTACCCTCTACCTATCTATACAAAAAAGTCTGCTGTTCAAGCAGTTGCTGGCATAGCTCAGTTGGGAGAGCGGGTGACTCTCGCCCCGGAGGATCTGGGTTCGAGGCCAGGCAAGGAAAATGCAGTAGATGTCATGTTAATTTTTCTTAATTTCAGGTATTTTACAGTTGTGACCGTTCAACTGTCATTAAACGTCCGAATGTTTGCTGGGCAGTGTTTTAAAAAGTGCACATAAGCTAGATGGTTTTAACCATAGAAAATTACATTTTTTGTGATACTGGAAAAATACATACTGAAATAAAACTACTGATTGAAAACTTTATGACTGTGGTTGTACAATATATGACTCACTAATACACTGCAAACTCCCTTAGAGTGGGGCTTCCAGAGAGAGAGAGAGAGAGAGAGAGACAGAGAGAGAAAAGTTCTTGCCTCATTAATGAATTGTTTATTTTTTTCAGTATTTAATTGACAAATTATCCTTTCAAATAATTAATTGATGAGTTACATAATTGTCCATTTAGAATTGTTGAATGGACTGAGTCAAGTTTGGTGCACTTTATATATTTCAAAACATGTTTTTTTTAATGATGCATATAAATAATTTAAATGTTAATTTAATGAAATATTTCTATTTTTTCATTACCTCACCCTTGTTTTGACAAAAACGGGACCTTGCTGGATAATATCATGGAGAAACTATTTGTTCACAGTACATGGCTCAGTGAGGATCTGTGTACCAAAGGAGGAGATACTCAGAAATCTGTCTGCAGATTGTTACAACCCAGACTGGAAGTGGTGGGCTGTAATAAGAAAGGAGACCAAACAGAGCAGTGGGGGTTCAACAACTGATTTATTTAACAAAAGTAAGGATTTACTAAAGCAAGTTAGTGAACAGAAAATGGCCAGTGAGGACTCTCCACCACACAGGAGAGACCCAGTGAAAGCAGAAAAACAGTAGGCTTTGTAGGCAGCACCACACC